TTTCTTAGATCACTGTTTTCAATACTAGTTCTGTCTCAATGTTTTGACTTTCTTGTTTAGGAACTCTAAGTATATATAACATGAGACATTCCTTGCCTTTTTTCCATTTCAACCTTAGTAGAACCTCCATAGTTGACTACCTTCCTACATTGACCACCTCCTCAAGCTGACCTAATTTCACAGACCAGACATGCACCACACATACATATTAGTATAGTAGGCCTATTTCCTTATGTTGACCACATCTGTATGTTAACCAGTTTGTTACAGTAACTTAGGTAGTCAACTTACAAAGGTGCTATTTGATCTTTTCCCTTCTTTTTTCATAGTTGTTTTTCTGCTTTCCTTCAAGTCCCATTATTAAATTTTCACTTGAGTTTATTTTCTCTTGGGCATCTTTAATGTAGACTTCATTTTTTATATGATGATGTCTTTCTTCTTCTCTACCTTTTCTGAATTCAAGCAATTGTCATTTAATTTTTTCCCATGTGGCCATTTTAAATTTTTGCCTGAATTCTTGATTTATAATAATGTTTTCATATTTCTAAATGGCCGTTTCAGGATATCTAATTCCATTTCAAGTTTATTCCATGGTTACTTCTAGGGGGTTGAATTTTCATTGGCTAAAATATTTTGATTCTTTTTTTTTTTATAGTTCTGTAAAAAAGTGACCTACTTTTTAATATTTCTTTTAATTTTGTGAATACAGTCCAAATTAATCACTCACTCTTCTGTTAGTTTAGTAAAGTATCTCTTCTTTAATGGATTATCACAGTGAAAAGGGAGAAATAGGGTTTAGCATGCTTTATTTCCATTTCATTCTGGGAAAATTCTTGTCTTCTCTTGTTTGTAAACCAAGTTTCCAGATTTGGTTGATTACCTTATAAGAAATTATTCTTTGAGGCAGTTATATCTGGGACCACCCACTTTCAAGGCTTTTCCCTATAACAAGAGCTGCAAACTACCAAGATCCACACCAGCATTTAGTATTTTGGTACTAAGTATTTGCTTTTCTTTTTCTGGGAGTGATATTTTTCAGTGTTTCATGTATGTCTTCCACTCCTTTATATTCCTTTCATGGAATCTCTTAAACCTCTTGTTGCCACCTCTTGGTATGCATCCACAGGCTTAAGTAGCAGAAAAGAAGAAGACTGCAGGAATCTGGGTTGCTTCTCTACTTAAGAAGATAATTTAAAGGTGATGATATTCTTTGTCTACTAGTTGATTTTGAAAAATCTTATGTTAGTCTATTTCTTTTTTTTTTTTTTTTGAGACAGAGCCTCAAGCTGTCCCCCTGGGTAGAGTGCTGTCCCCCTGGGTAGAGTGCCATGGCATTACAGCTCACAGCAACCTCCAACTCCTGGGCTCAAGCGAGTCTCCTGCCTCTGCCTCCCAAGTAGCTGGGACCACAGGCGCCCGCCACAACGCCCGGCCATTTCTTTTTTGGTTGCAGCCGTCATTGTTGTTTGGCGGGTCCGGGCTGGGGATTCGAACCCACCACCTTAGGTGTACGTGGCTGGCGCCTTAGCAGGTTGAGCCACAGGCGCTGAGCCAACATTAACATAACTTTTTAAATATAAACTTTATGTTTTTTGTTTGTTTTCTGGAAAATTTGTGAGGTACACAGGAATTACATAGCATCCATTATCCTCTAGACCTGGTAGTTTCGGGGGTTTTTTTGTTTGTTTCTCTTGATTTTATTGTTCTTTTAAAAAAATATAAGTACATCTTTTACCAAGACGGGTTAGAATGTGTCTAGGGCACAGAACCCACGGCTGCAGCTCACTTCTCTGCTGACTTTCAGTAGCACGTGAAATTTTTGCTGTTCTCTCAGAAAATAATTGAGTAATAACAAAATGTAGGCCATTAAGCCTTCCGCATGCTCCTGAAATGAGCGAGTGCTTTTACTTGCATCTGAAAGTGTGGGACGGCAGCTCCTGACAAGGAGTGACGAGCAGACACACCGACACGCTGCTGTGCTTTTGAAATCCCGTGTTGGTTTGACGTGAAAGCTTCCAACAAAAAGCTTGTGTTTTAATCTCACTTGAAGGTCACCTGCTTGCTTCATTATGGCTTTGAATGAAGTCCTGCTATTAGGGACTGCATTACCAAAGCGACTCTACCCCAAAGACCTCCAGGGTCCAGGAGTAGAAGTCATCCCCACGCCAGGGCAGGGGACTTGGGAAAACTAATGGTTAGGATTTACCTAAAGGGGACGGAGATTTCCCACAGCCCCTGGCTGACCTGAAAATTACTGTGAAATTCGAATACCTCTAAAAACCTCAAAGAGAGGTAAATTAAAAAGACTCAGAGGTACACTCCCACAATTTAAAAAAAGGCACGTGCCCATTCTGTTCTCCACTCCTAGACCTGATTTTGGTAAGCCATAAAGCATCGGGAGATTTTGTTCTGGAAGATGATTCCAGCTGACTGGGGATGGGGGTGGGAGCCTCTGAGGCAGGACATTGAAAACACCTCTGGAGGCTGTTCAGGACTCCTGGGTTAGCTCAGCATGAGGGGGCTGCCTCGCCACCCATCCCTGAGAGCCCCTCCTAGAGGGCCCTGTCTGGCCCTCTTAGCAATGAGCACACCAACAGTGAGGCCGGGAATGATGACACATTTCACAGGGGCAAACAAACCCCAGGGGCCACAGCTGATGACGGCCTCAGTCATTAGCTTGGGCCACAAAGCGAACTATGGTGACTGCTGGCTCTCACATCTCAAACTAACTTAAAAAAAAAAATAACAACTTGGTTATATAAAGAGGGGAAGGAAGGTAACAACTCCTACACAAACACCAGGGGCTTCAGCTTCCGCGGTTTTCCTAAAGCAACATCTTGACTACACCCTGGGCTGATGGCAGCGATGGTGAGGATGTATGTGAAGGCAGCTTCCCAAATTCCAGGCGTTTTCTCAACCACACAATGTCTCAATTTTCTCTCCCTTTATCCCCCAAAGGCACACTGGTGCTGTTTGGCCGTCTGTCACCGCTGTCCCTGTTCTTGTTCGCCCGCCCTGAGGCTGGGCCACCTGTTCGGTTTGGGGACTGATCATACACGAAGTTCCAGCAGGATGCAAGCTTGGACTCCAGTGCCCCCACTTTCCGCAGCAGGTCTCCCACAATGTTGAGGGCTGATATCCGGGCTGCAGGTGTGAGGGGGGTCCCTCCCATGGAGTCGTCCAGGCCACGTCTGAAGGTCCCTGGTGTGTTTAAACTGGAGCTGGGTGCTCGATGAGTGATGGGAGTGGAGGGTATGGAGCCAGTGGCCTGCACAGCTATGTCTGTTCTTTCAGCTTCCACTGAGCTGGGCAAGGGCGTCCTGGGTTTCTCCTGCTTCTGTTGTACGGCCAATTCCTGGCGCAAATCTCTGGCTTCATCCTTCAGTCTCTGAACGGATTCAAGGAGATTCTCCTTCTCGTCAAGTTCACTTTCCAGGAAGGCATTTCTTTCAATGGCTTGATTCAAGCGCTGCTCAAAGTCTTCCAGAGACATGATCGTGGCTCGCTTGGCTCCTTCCAAGTCGTCATTGGCTTGCTCCAGCTCTCTGATGTATTTCTGCAATTGGTCTTTGATGGCTTTGGTCTGTGCAAGATCGTCCTCCAAGGCTGAGATCTGCCGGTAGCCTTCGGAATGCTGCATTTCCAACTTCTCCTTGATAGTTTCCAGCTCCATGCGAAGGCGGTTATTTTCTGACAGGAGGTCTCTGTTCCTGGTTTCGATTTGTTGCAGCTGTGTCTCCAATTCAGCTTCATATTCTCGGCTTCCCTCCTGGAATTCACGGAGTTCCTCTTGCGTATTCTCTGCCCTCTGCTTGTAGGTCATTGCCAGATCTTTCCAATAGTTAGCTTCTTCCTCCTCAGAGCTGAAGGTCTTTCCCGAGTCTTCCATCATGAAAACAAGGGAAGAGATTGATCACTCTTCTCGCGGCATGGTGTCGGGCTAGGGCAGCGAGGACTAGGCTGTGGCGCCTTTTGTTTTTTTTTTTTTTTAAAGAGTCCTAAGTACTTACACCACTGGACATACTATATTCTAATTCCTGAAGGAAGTTTGAAAAAAAAGGAAAGATGTATTTCTAGAGATGAGTATAGGCACTATACAGAAATGAAGGAAACAGTGAAGGAGCCTGGAGCACTGAGGGTGGGCAACTTATGAGGCTGTCAAGAAAATCTAAAGGAGGGGAGTAATGAGGAAGGATGTGTTGAGGTTGGCAATCCATCAAGGACAGTAACTACCATGGCTTCCAGTGCTTTGGCCAAACCTCAGATGGCTGGCCTCTTGGCCAGGCACTTGTGTATTCATATTGTTAGAGCATTTGTTGTATCCCTGGGGGTTGCAATTTTCTATAAATTTGCTGTGGCTGAAGGAAGAAAGAAGGCATATGCAGATTTCTACAGAAATTATGATTCTATGAAAGATTTTGAGGAGATGAGGAAGGCTGGT